AACGAGCCTCGTTTTTTTAATTGTTTATACACGGAGATGGTTTATTGACCATATTTCCCCACGTTTCTTAATTGTGAGCACTCAGCGTAACATTTCATACTGCCATATAGGAGTTCATAACATTTTGCAATAACCCTTGCAATATTTGTTTAGACGAACGTTTGAAGGACATCTGTCGGGGCTGGAAACAAGGCTGTAGGTTTGAGGGTTTTTTTTTTTGCTTTTGTTTTTTTAATTGCTGTTTTGTCAGAGGAATAGGCACGCTCCTGTCACTCGGAATGAAAACCCGGCAAAGCGCTGACAAAATCTGCTCCGCATCACCCCCGCTCCTCCTTTCCCTCCCTAATTGGCGGAGCTGCGAGCACGGCTGAAGGTACAGCCTGTGAAGACAGATTTGGGAAACCGAGATCAATAGCTTGCTAAGCCATATGCACGTCTCTCCGGGGGGTTTATTTCTCCAGTTAGTCTTCGTGTTGATAATAGCGCCGGGAGCTCCACTTGATGGCAGGTTTTACAAGGTACGTGAACAAGAGGAGGAGTGAACGCTGAACGTGCCTCGTGTGCTACAAACCTGGAGTTGTCTGAATGAGAAGCTGGGAAAAGGGCAGCTAAAATGTAGGATTTGGCCCAGATGTGCTCCAGGACGTCCACATTGGGATCCCATTTTTGACCCCATGAAAAAAAAATGAATCTACTCTCTACTTGAAGCAATGGCTTTGGGATAAATAGTCCCACCTCTAACAACGTGTAGACTTCTCCTTCATTTGCAGAGTGTGACCACATCCTTGCAGCCAGTTTTATACCCGTTGAAGACAAAATAAGTGAGATATCTACGGGGCAGCCAATGCCAGCTGCCTCCCAAGGCGGCGTCAAACATCTCCATGCTTAAAAATGGAAAACCAAACCAACCCAACCCAAAACCATAAAAAAGGAGGGATATTTCACGATATGCTGTATTGCAGTGGGCAGTGCTGGAGTGTTTGCCGCACAGGACACCCCAAAAACCCTGGGCTTTGGGTCCTGTCTTTTTATGCTTCTCTTACGCGACCTCGGGCAAATCACTTACTGCTGCAGCACTTCATTTTCTCATCAGTAAAATGCGGATAATCACTCTTTCTTACTTCACTAGGATATGAAGATGGATACAGCCAAGACTGTGAGGTAATTAGCTGTTGTGGCATTGGGTCATCCAGTAATTCAAATGAATCTTTCAGGAGAGATTAAACGCCACAGCATCTGCTTCCTCTGCTCTGAACCAAGCAGGAAAGAGCTCGGGTTTTTTGCAGTGACAACTTTTGTCCAGGGTGACCTTGGAGCAATTCTTTCTTTCTGGCTAAAATTTGACTCTTAATGGCTCGGAAAAAGAACACCAAAATAAACCTTTATGTGTTTCTCCAGGCTGTTAATTGGGGACATCAATTTGAGGTGCTCGTGATGCTTTGCTCTGTGCTTCGGATCGCTTTGATTTGGGGTAATTAATGGGCCAGGAGCTTGTGCCACCCTCTCAGCAAGGAGACCAGCCGACACCAAACCGAGCTGGGAGGTCCAGAAACTCTCCTGAGATGCCACATTATTATTTTTGCTCTTTGCCCCTGTTAAACCTAAAGCATCACCGGCTCCTGCGTGCTCACCCGCAGCCTCATGGGGGTTATTTTGTGCTCAAAACCCAGCTGCCGATCGGGAGGACTGGTGAGGCGTGTGGCACGATGTCATCGTCCGAAAACAAAATATTAAGTGTAATTTTTAATGGGTAACAGCGCTGTGCCCACGGTGGTAATTCTTTTTTCCTTTAGAGACCGCAGGTCTGCTCGCCAGGTGCTGTACAGAGCATTACTTTCCAAGTACCTCGTGACTTTTCCCTAGCAAGCCATTTAGGAATTAGAAAACCCTGAGTCATCCTTTTATTAAGTTTATATACTGGCCCAGCATGCGTTCAGACGGAACATTGAGAAGTTTGCCAGCCAACGAAATCAAATCAATTAAGCCCGCAAGGTTTCTGACGCAGGTCGTTGGGTGTTTCGGGGGGTTGGAGTCATGGGCCCTTGACCAAGGACATAGAAGAAAAACGCACTTTTTCCTCAGCTGGTTGAAAGGGCAGGTGAAAAGCCATGTCCAAGTTGGATTCAGCTTCCAAAGGAGGTGAAGGTGCCCTGGGTTTGCCCACACGTGCTGCCCCAGCATCTCGGTGACAATATATCAGCAAGAGGGGGTGACAATGCCTGGATAGGCACGGGGTTATAAAAAGCATCCCTCAAACAACAATTTCCAAACTTCCATCTCTTCCATCCGCCCCAGACCTCCCTGCCCACCTCCGTCTGCCAAAGGGGTTGGGTTTTGTCCACAGCGACCCAGAAATTTATCAGAACATCACCCGGGATCCAAAGTGGATGAAGAGTAACCTGAAACCTATAATGGGGCTAGTTTTAAGGGAAAAAATCCCAAGGAAACATTATATCAGAGCATCAGGCAGGGCAAGCCACGTGGGCATACCTACATCTGTGCCAGGCTGACTCCTGCTCAATTCTTAGGGACAGGAATTTCCTCTTTTTTCCCCCAGAATGGCCACTTTTGGGTAGGATCCCACAGGCCTGCCTTCCTTTTCCACCTCGCCTGTATTTCTATTGGCATCGTTTTCTTTCCCTATCCACAAATCACCTCTGGTTGCAAACCAGCTTTCCTTCTTCTCATTGATCTGCTGCGTGAATCTAAAATTACACAAAGCTGTTCCTGTCACTCGTTTTCGTCCTGCTGTGGTTTGACTGCTCTCCCAAGCGGCACTGTTCAGCTCCGCGCTGGCCGTGGTTTCTTGCCTTTAAAAAAATGCATCTTAAAATAGTTCTCGTTTCCCTTGCACTTTATCGATTACAGCCTGGCAATTTCCATTCCAGATCCTGACAACAATTTGGGGATATATGGCTGATTATTAAGAAAAATTGCTTCCTCTCCGGCTGCTACACGTCTTCGTGTAGGGCCCGGTGGCACTCGCGTTTCTTGCCAGCGCTAAGGAATAATCAGAGAGACAGTCAGGATAAAGGGATACTTTTTGTGAGTAAATAAGGGCTTGTGGGAAGGAAAAAAGGCAGATGACAGAGGTGCTTTGTCTTGTGGCATGCAGCTGAAGCTCCCAGTAGGTTCAATACTCCCGGCGTGCTTCTTCACTCCTGCCTTGGTGTGCTCAGCGTCAGCTCCTCGCCCCTTCCAGCGATGGTTTTGTCATAATGCTGGTGGCGGATGGGATTCAGGCTTGTGTCATGCTGCAAAAGGATGGTGGGACAAACCCCACCTGTGCCGAGAAGGGAGAGATCCAGCTAAAAAATAATTATGCAATGGTCCTGGGGAAAGTGATGGGCACAAATCACACTGGCAGCAAACTGTGTGTGAAAGCAGCAAAGAGAACAAGCAGGAAAGCAGCAGAGGAGAGAGGGGACAGGGTGATATGACCTTGCTCTTAGTCACAGTGAGGCTGTTTTGCACTGTGAGCAAGCCAAAGAGCATCAAAGCACACACAAAAAGCCTCCAGCCAGGGCTCAGGGTGGGCAGTGGGACAGCTCAGCCACTGCCCTAGGGTGCTGAGCCCCTTTGCACCCACAGACACGTCAGCTTACGCTGTCACCTGAAGCAATCCCAAACCTAGAATGGCCCCAGGGACACTACAAAGGAACACACGAGGTGAAGCATCCCCGTGACATTTAAGACACGGACAGTTGTGAGCAAGGAGATTGATGCTGCTGAAAGCCTGGGTGAATTGTTGCTTTGCTGTTTAAGCAAGAAGAGGAAGGTCACTTCCCCAGGCTTCAGGATTCAATTTGCTGGCAGAGAGGAAGATGCTAGGAAGGAAAGATGAAATGCCTGTCTGTAACAGGGCAAAAGAGCCAGTAAAAGCCTTAAAGTTGGCGTTGTTTCTTGAGCTGTGATAAATAATGTCCCTCAGACAGCGAAGAAGGGATTGAGAGAAACAGGAACACCTTCAGCATGGGTTTCAATGGCATGGTTCAGTGTCCTGTGGAGATGCAGCAGCACCAAGGGCTCGGTATAGCAAGGCACCACATCTTTAGGGTTTGTCCAAGGCGGTGGATTTGGAGGTGCTGGAGCCATCCCTTCAAAGGGCCGAGCTATGGAGAATACATCTCTTCACAGATTTAGGCAAACAGTCTGGGAGCAGGGGGTTTGAAGCAGCACAAATCCATCCCAAACCAGCCCATGCTGTCTCTGCTAACACAACACTGTCGAGGATTTGAAGCCAAGCACCCCAAAATCAGTACACAATACCATGACAGTGCCGTGTAGGAAGGAAATATTATTTTTCCCCTCAGCTTTTAGCAGAAGATTGACCACAAGGTGCTGTGGGGAAGCAGGAGATGCTTTGCCATCTTGGGTGGAGAGGGATTTTGGCAGAGGCTGCCCCAGGAGGACCTGCCTAACCCTACCTAGGGCTGGAAGGGTGGCAGAGGGCCAGAGAGCATCCTGTCCTTCAATCTTGCATTAGAAACTCACAGAAAATTTCAACATGCTGCGACCGTATAGTCCCTTTCTCCCGAATTTCCCAGTCTCTCAGCAAATCCAGGTTTTCAGGTACCCTGCCCCGTGCCACCAGGTCAGCCTCAAGATCTTCTGAGGCAGCAGAATTCACTTTCATGCACGAAGGACACAGGCTGTGCAGCTCTGGATTTTTTTCTTCCTTTCATTTTTTATTTTATTTATTTATTTATTTATTTATTTTCGTTTCTCTTTTTGTTCCTCTGCCCTCCCCGCCCCTTGCTCTGTTAAATGATTCACCGGTGGAGAATCAGCTCGGGGGCTGGATGCTGCACAGGCACCTCCTGGTTACTCCTTAACCTTTTCTCCCCGACAAGGCCGAAGCAGCAGGTGCTTCCAGAAGTTAAAAAAAAAAATGCTACGGGGGGAGGGAATTCAGCAGTGCCACCTGAACACCGATGGAAGAGGTTTAAAACCGGCGGGCAGAGCTCAGGTGGCAGCACAGGCCCCACCACAGCTCATTTACCACAGGCTGCATCAGCTGTGGAGAGGCAGCCAGAGGGAGCACCCTCCCTCCAGCTGAAACCTCCTGACACTCCCAGCTGTGTATATATATGTGTCGTGTGCTCCCTGATTTCTATTTTGAGGTGTTTGTACTCTAGGGAGGTTGTTTGTGGTGCCCTAGGTGAGATGGGCCTGGTACTGCTGGGCCTGGTCTTGCTGGGCCTGGTCCACCCTAGCCCAAGGTGATGGAGATAAATGGAGGATCCAGCCCAAGAGATCTCTGCTGCAGGCAGTAGATGAGGCTGGGCTTTCTGTTGAAGTGTCTATCGCAGTGATGGACCCTAAGAAATATCTTTTACATCAGGCTTAAGCTTGCTGGCCGTGGGGTAGTGTTGGTGTAAGAGGCTGCTTATCAGATCGCTGGGTTATTTGCCAGTCCAAGCTCCCCTGCAATAGTCAGTGCTTATTTCTGGGTTATAAGGCGGATTTAAGTCGGTTTGTCTTTCATTTGTGCTTAGGGTGGAGAGGAAGGAGAGAGTTTGGAGGAATCCGTACGTGGGGGAGAAACCAAACAAGGGGGAATGACTAATTCAAAGAGGCTTTCTCTTCTGACAGTCTCGGATGAATCTTTGTTTTGGGAACAATTGAGAGATCGCTCTATTTGGGAAACTAATAGTGCTTGCTCTGAAAGAGCCTTTGTCAAAGAGATGCCAAAAGGATTTATGGGCTCCAGCCAGGCCGTGCAGGTATTGAGTGAGCACTGTCAATAGATGCTCTTCTCTCTGTTCAGCTGGACTATGATTTGTACCAGCTCCTGCCTGCAATTGATCTCGAAAGGGCCAATTTAATGCAGGATCTGTTTATTTTAGGCGAGTGCAACAGACCTTTAAAAGGCTCATCAGTGAAGCTGGGGGGATTTTCAATATCTGTGTTGTTGAAGAAAGGGCTCTTGCTCACCAGTGCTCTCCAAACACGGAGGAATGCAAATACCAGGCATCTATACCTCAGTATCTTGCTTCCAGAAGCATGTTAGCACTACAGGGCTTTTACCCAGTTGTAATTAATCTCTCTCCAGCTGGTTTTCAAGCCTCTGGGAATTTAGGCTTATGCATACTTCAGTAAATAAATTCTTAGGTATTGCTGTAGTAGGACAATTGTAGTCTTTGGCTACTGGTAGTCAAATACGAGATTTATTTCTATCGAACAGTGGTAAATGGAATGTAGAAGTTGCTCAAGAGACCAATAAATAAGTATTCCTCCTTCGCTGGGAGTGAAGGAAGAATTAATGTCCAAGTGGAGAAAGCAATTTCTCAGTGGAGGAGCTGGGCTTCCTGCTAAATGCACCCAATTTGGAGAACTGAAGCTGGTGGTGGTGCAGCATTCCTGAGGCTGCAGGTCTTGTTATTGTCCTTGGTGTCCTTCCACAAAATCTGCTTCTTCTTCGTACCCCTGCCCAGCACCCAGCCTCCAACAAATAGCTGGAAAACCATTTGTGTGCGGCTTTTAGACATTTCTGAGATGCCTCCATGAAACTGAAGACACCCAGAGCTCTCTAGGATATATCCATTTACCTTTTGTGTAAGGAGCTTGGGGTCAGTGGGGTGCGAGAGGTACACATAAATCTCCTAGGGGAGAAACTTGCTTAAGCAGGCAAAAAAAATAATGTTTTAGGAAGATCCTTTTGCATGTGGTATACCATGAAACTTTGGTAAGAGTTGCTTCCTGAAGTGTCGAACGTGCTCTTTTTAAATGACTCAGCCATACTCGACTCAATATATTAATTGCTATGCGTTCAAAATGGTATTAATTGATATTAACACAAAACAGTAATTACCGAAGGACACTTGAGCAGCTAAAAGTGAACTTCCCTTTGAAAACATGGAAGGTGGAAGTGTCTTTGCATTTGAAGATGTTTCAGTGCTTTTATGTGGCTATGTTTGCGCTGGGAAAACTTCTTAGACTATTTGGTGCTGGTTTCTATAGTTATTTTTCTCTGCTGCTCTTTGCTAACAACATAATGGAGAGGAACAAAGCTACGAGGTTTTGTTACCTCTTTCTATAGTTTTTCTTTTCTTTTCATGGTCAGGGTTTGGAGTAGAAGTGCGGTTGCTGTGTATCTTGCTACTATTGATCTGGAGAAGAAAACACTTTCTGCTAAATACCCGGCTCCTTTCTTAACGGGGAGCTGAGTGGGTCTGAAGCCAGTCAGACAAATGTCTAAGGAAAGGAAGACGGGGGGATCGTCTGAGGTCTCAAAACCCGCTATTTCAGGTGTTGTGTGCCCCCGTCTCAATGGGATGAGCATGACCCAAGGGGGAAAATCCCATCTTTTTGTGTTCTGCCCCTGCACTCTTCCCGCTGCTGCAGGGGCTTATCAGGTGGAGTCACAACCAGATCTGCAAACCAACCCCAAGATTGTTTAATTACAGCTTGACTGAACTGTTCGTTTCAGTTGAGTTTGTTTTCAAAGATGCTTCCAATCCTCATTTGTTTGGACTGAACAGTTACAGGATAATCCCCATAGGAGGACCTAGACATCCCGTCTTTGTTTGAAGAAACGCTTTGCTCAACCACACACAAAAAAATAAAATAAAAAGAGATGAGAAAGTTTCAGAGCATTTTCTGTGTTATTTTGGAGAGAGCAGAAGTATTTTCAATTCAGGTTAATCCTGGACTATATCTATTCGGAAAGATCTTTTTGCCTCGGCAGAGTCATAATAATGATTACTCAGTCAGCTTTGCTCGGAGTATAAATTCTGAACATCTTTTAATTTCCCTTATATCTCAGTGGTTGCAGAGGGAAAACAGTATTTCACCCGGGGAACTCGGCAGAGAAGACAAACGTCTGCAAGCTAGAAACATTGGGGAAGTCTACAAAGAAGCCAAGGGGTAGAAATGTGGGAGTTAAGATGCAGCGAGCTGTAATTCTGCTGCTTGTAATAATGTAAGGAATAAGAAGGGAAGCGCCAGAATATAAAAGAATTGGGACTGGCTGAGAAAATGAGACCGGAGGTAAAGCTGGAATGAGCTTTCAGGCCTGGAATGAGTACGTGGACTGTTTTCCTCCACCGTGAGAAGGATGCGGGATGGTCCCAAGCCATTTATTGCTTGTCCTCTGCTTGGTCTCCGCTGCCAGGGGAGCAGAAGCGGCGAGCCACGAGCATCCTGATCTCTCCCAGCCGATTATCCCGTGACGGAGAGGGAGTCATCTACGGAGACGGCTCTGCAAACACATTTGCGCAGAAGTGATGTTATTACCGGGCTTTTGCCAAAAGCAATTATTTTATTGAATAAGCTCGTTGTGCTGCCAGCGCTCCGGCCATACTTTATGTGGCTTAAATGAGGTCCTTTGCTAAGGGAGCCTTCCCCGGTGCTTTAATTTCATCCAGACTCTGACTCACCAGCAGCAGCGCCCGGTGCAGGGAGGGGAGAGGTGCAAATAAAAAAAAAAAAGCACTTGCAGGCAACACAAAAAATCCCTTATCTGATGATGTGATGCTGCGGAATACGAGGGAACAAACTTATTTTCAGCTAGCCTTGTTCAAAGCCTTGGGAAAACAGGGATGAAGCGTCCTGTCTTTCCTTTGCCCACGTGAGCTGGGAGGATTAGGGTTTTTTTGGGGTATTAGGACCACGTTAAGCCTGTAGGCTGGTGTCCTGTGGGTCTCTTCTACTCTTATGGTAGCAGCTTAAATTAAAAGATGTCCAAAGGACTTGGAGGACTCTATTAATTAGAGGATTTGAGCGGCTTTGGATGACCCTGCAGAGGCCACCCAAAAATGCAATTTGTGCCCGATACACAACCAGCTACACAGTCCGAACGTGGGTTCAGATTAAAACCCACTAACTTCACACGGAGTCCTTTAACTTTCCTCGGAGAAGACTATGGGGCTTCATTCGTCTCAGCCTGAAGCGGACGTGGCTCTTGGAAGTGCAAGCTGCCGAATGATCTGGTTTAGATCCAGATGTGGGTTCTGGCACGTACCTGTCATCTCCCTTAATTAAGTGGCTACACGGAGAGCGACGGTGCTTGTGGGATGATGAATGGAGCCGAGTGCCTTGAATCATGTTACAGGACCTCATGGATAGGGCAGCGAGGTGCCTGTTTCATGCTCGTAAATTAGAGAGTTAAAATAGACGATGCGAATGCCCTCGTCGGATGGTTTTTGCCTCCTGAAATCCAACGCTGCAAGTAAAATCCACGTTTGAGCCCGTTGCAGCTGAGGATGCTGGAACGTGGGAGCCAGGACCGGAGTTAATGGTGCTGTGAGCTCCATCCTGAGGTCCCTTGGCTATGTTGCTTTAGGAGCCTGTTCCCAAATGTTCCCAAACCTCGGAGGTGCACCCTGTTATTGCAGTCAGGACTTATAGCCCCAGTAGAAGCAACCCCTTTTCCCTCTGCACGGGGAAAACCCGATGCTGGACTCACGCAGGAAAATCGCCGAAATTTAAAACGTGAAAAAAAAAATAAGCAGCCTCTCGAGCACGAAGGAAACCCTCTCCGCGTTTTTCTCCCTCGGTTTTAATTTCAGACACCACCTGCTGTGCCTGAGTCGGGGTCTAACATCAGGAAGAAATATTCCGTCTGAAACGGCTGCGCCCGCGCCGAGCAAGGTCTTTGGTGGAGCCGACATAAATTCCCTTGTCCCCGCTGCTGTTTGCTCAGACCTGGGGTCAGCCGGGCTCGAGATCTGGAGGAACCCAAGCTCCTGGGCTTTAATTTTACAGCTGCAGCATCCCGGGTGGAGGGAGGTCAGGAATTCCTCGCCGTGCTCATTTGTTAACCTGTTGCTCATGCAGCTCACCGACACACCCCCAAACCTGTCGGATAAATCCATTTGGGGGGCAGTTTGCTCCCAATTCCGCTTTCTAATTAGCGTTAATGAGGTTTGCAGACCCAGCTGGTCCACGATGTGGGAGAGTTGGGTGCATCCTCCACCTCTTTAATAGAGCAAAGTGCTGGCGCGCCGCAGTTCGGGGCTAGTTTTTGATGAGAGGATGCTGCTGGTGGCTCCCAGGTGTCCTTAACCACGTCTCCGTATTTTTGCTGGCCCCAAAAAGCTGCCTGGCATCACAACGGGGTGTTTTGCCTTTTTGGGGTTTTGCCTGCTGCCTGACCCAGGAGCAGGCAGCCGGCGGGCTCGGTGGCAAGCTCGTCATTACCGCGAGGAAGCATCAATTAGTCCCAGCCACGCTGCATTCGGGATGGTTTCTAAAATTAGCAGAGATGATCAATCAGGGTTGTGCGTAACGAGCAGCAGCAATACCTGAATTATGAAGCGTGGGGAAATAATAAAGGTGACAAGCCGAAACAGCCCTCCTCGGGGAGAAAATATTCGGCTCGCTCAAATTCCCTGCCTGCCTTTGTTTGAACACAGATGTGAATTTTACACCGAAATACTATTAAGAGCTGTAGGGAAAGGGAGTTTATATTTTTTTTTTTATTTGTTTCCAAAATAAAGGCACGGCTCTCTTTGCGTAAGGCCATCCATGTGGTCATCCAACGGGATTTGGCTCAGAAAAACCCTATAAATTAAGTCAAATAAATAGATGAGAGTGAAACGGGGGGAATTTATTGCCCAAAATACCCACTGCTGGAAAATTCACAGGTTTAGTTTGAGCCTCTTTTTTAATTATTTCTCCTTTTTTATGAGTGGCTTGAGGGTTATTTATTGTTTGGATAAAACACAGCCCCAGGGAGGTGGTTTCTGGGGCTGCCACTGACTGCCTTCTGCTGCCCACGAGAGGCAGGAACAAGATGTGGGATGTCCAGAGGTCCCTTCCAGGTGTTTTTCCATGAACTTTGGGATTTTAGTGAGGCCGGGATGTGCTGGGAGCCAGCACCTTCCAGCTCGGGGAAGCGTAGCTCCGAAGGAAGCGATCGCTCTTGTCTCGTGGCGGAGCCAGGCAATGAATTAGTCATGTCAGAGCATGGCCATAAAAAAGAAAATCTTTAAAACAAGGTGCGAAATTCGAGCATAACTCTAGCTTGAGAACAAATTCAAGCAGAAAAAAAAAAAATATCCATCTTTATTTTGTAAACTGTGGTCTCTCCATCAGGGTTTTGGAGCACGGTGTTCCCAGGTGGATCCCAGTCCCTTGGCATCGCGGGTGAAGGCGCAGCCCTGCCTGGGATGCTTGTACCTGACATGAATAAAACAAGCAGTGAGTATCAGAGCCGTGTGCTTGCCCCGTGGGTCACACAACCTCCCCGGAGCCCCCAGCAGCAAACCACGCCGCAGTTTGGCTCCGGGGAGCTTTGGGAGCTCTGCCCCTGCCCTTTCTCTACCTGATCTCGTGTAGAGCTGGGGAAATGGTGCACGTACTTGATGCACTTGACTTCCTTGGCGTTCCCAGCATTCGGTTTTATTCTAAGCCCTTCAATAATAAGAAAAAAAAATACAAATCCAAAAAATGCTGAACTACAACCGCTAGGTTTTAATCACAGCAACGACTTGCTGTCGAATCGCATCACCCCCCCAAGAAACAGCCAGAACCGAATACCAGAAAAATGCCCCTAAATCCCTGGAACGGAGTCGAGGCTGTTTCATTAAACTTGATGAGAACAATGGGTTTGTTTGCTCGTGATAAAATTTAGCATGGCCTTAACTACTATCATTATATCCTTACCTTGAAGTGCTGTGCAGGTTTTGGAAATGTCATTGTCACTTAGCAACCCCGAGTAGTTTTTTTTTTGGTTTTCTTTTTTCCGAAATACTTTTTGATTTGGGAAGCATAAAGGGAATATAAACGTGAATGGTATGTTTTGCATAAATAAAGAGCAGCGCGGGTGTTTCTGCATTCAGATGAATAATTTCGGGTAAAAGGGAAACGATTTCAACCAAAGACAAATTTCCCAGGAACGAGATCACAGAAACGAGGTTGGAAAGGGGGAACTGATAAAACAGCGGGTGAGGCAATTTTAAAGGGCTCTTCCTTGATTGATTTATTTATTTTTTTCATATAGATATAAAAATATTCAGAGCTTTTCAGCAGAGAATCTTCAGCATGGAAATCTTGGGTCAATGTTGTCATTAACCAGATGTTTGGGGCAAATCTCTCAGATATAAGAGACCTCCTGATAAGATCCCGACCTGGATAAAGGTATTCCACGGTTTTCCAGCTGTGTCCCATCATTTCATTGCTCTATAAAGCTAACTAATGAACAAAAATACAAAAAAAAACAAAGCCTTAGTTTTCTTCCTGAACAGACGCGTTTTCTGAACGTGGATTTCCTACGAAAATCACCCGAATTTAGAAAATCCCACTGAAAATCCCACTGCGTGTCCCTGTCTGCCAACCCTAATGGCTTTTGCCCCTCTTTGGTGGGAGGATTTGGAGGAGAAGAGCCCAGCTGAAGGGTGGAAGAAGACAGCATCGGGCTTCAACCCTTCTTCAAGGCTGGAGGAGCCACCAAGAGGAAAGTTGCACGGAATGAAAAACCCCAGGAAATGGGCTTCGCATCTCTCCTGGCTCAGTTTGAAGAATTACACGTCTTCAAACTTTTTTTTTTTTCTTCTGCACAAACAGAATTCTTGTGGTTTTTTTTTCAGCCAACTTTAATGAACACTCGACGACAAGCTGAGAAGAGGAGCGACGTGAAAATAAGGCTCTTTGTCAAGTGGACGAGTACACTCTTATTGACTCCAGCACAGCCCTTGGTAGTGCTTTGTGCCCATCTTTTCTTTCCGTTGGCAAAAGGCTCTATTTTTCAGAAGAAAAAAAAAAAAAAGAGAAAAAAAAAATAAATCCCACCTCCCCTCACCACAATCTATACGGTAAGAAAAGTTTTGCCTCCTGTGAAGTGTTCCTCGCCTTTCTCAAAATGTTTAAAAAGCTTTAACTTTGAAAAGACTTCGGAAAACAAGTCTGAAAAGACCCTGCTATTTCCTTTTCCATCAGTTACTGAAATTTTACAAGCAGTGATTTCAGCGTCATTTGTGGCACGGCTCTTTTTGGGAAAGGTGTAATTGGGGTGGTTGCAAAACTTTGAGAAATTGGTCCTCTTCGGGTGAAAAAAACGAAACTGTGGCTGCTCCTTTTTGCCCAGTTTTAATTTGATGGGAATCCTTTATTAATCACGAGCTTTGCTACGGGTTAAATGCATTCCTTCTATAACTTTGTAATATATTTACGTATTATATTTATAAATTATAAAGGGTTATGTGGGAGGTTTTATTTTGATGCCTAAAGAATAATCTTGACGTCTAAAGAATAATTTAGAGAAATCCGTGTCCTAAACAGGCAATGCTCTTCATGGTGTTATTAAGAAAAAAATTTAGGACTTTTCAGGCTAAAGCTGACCTGATCGCAGCTCTGTGCAGAGCAAAGCAAAGCGGATACGGCAGCAGCTTTGGTGTTGGGATCCCTGCTATCAGGAGAAGGTCAGTGCAAAGAGCAGCGCGTAGTTGGCAGCGTATTTATCCCGTTGAACTTTGGCTCTCGGGATGCCCCTGCCTAGAGCTACCCTGCTCTCTCCGCCGACTACACAAGGAGCTTGAATTACGAGCCTGACTTCACCCTGCTCGGATTTCTAAGGCAGCCTACATGAGCTGGGGGGAATATCTCCAGCGTTTGACCCAGCCGTTGATGTGCCAACTACACCGACGTCCCTGGGTCTAGGCTCCCGGCTGTAAGGTCTCGTGCCACTTTGAGGTTTGCTCCCTGTCCCCTTGCACTTGCTCTTAATTAAATCCTTCTTTCTGTTGCATATCGGCTCATTTGTGTCTCCGGCTCTTCTCTTTTCCCCTCCTCTCTCTCAAGAAGCCTCTCTTTCCTCTTTGGGATTGGCTCAGTCGGAAAACATGAACAGCAGCTTCCCAGCTGATGGCAAGCCGTGGCTTTCCGGGTGGTGCTCGAGCACTTCCAGAGTTATTTCCTACCCCATTTATTTGTCAAAACCTGCCTCTACATTACACCCACTTCCACTGAACTATCTGGAAGTTTTCTGGTTATAGCAAGCCTAGCAAGATGTGTGGATAATATAGATCAGGTTTTCCAACGCTGCATTCGCCAGAAAATTCCCCACCCTCACTTACATTCACCTCGTTCCCTCTTTAACTCTTTTGCTTTCTTTTATGGAACTTAAATATTTGGGGTTAAATGGAGCTGTTGCCATCGGGTCGCTTATTTCTGGTCCCAAATAAAGAAGGATTTGGAGATTCCTCATCATAAAGAAACCTTAGGAAAAATGCACCGGCAATCGCAGTGGCAGTTTTACTTCGATTTTTATGGCGTTGCTGTTCCACGGGCTGTTTCAATCACACCCCGCAATATCCAGCCTGCGTTGGATTCTAATTTATTTATCAGATCAAATAGATGAAAATAGCTGCGATAGGGAAATTCTCATCTAGTAGAGTCGTGCAGAAATTCGTTTCTGATGATGGGCTCCTCCACTGCTCATCCTCCAGCAGACCTGGTCTCACCTGGGCACGTGGGGACGGGCCAGGGGATTTCTTGATGCATTGTGAGGGTTTCTAATTAATTTTCCAGGAGCCAACGAGCACCTCATTACGATGACTTCACATGCTTTGCTCTCGTTGGAAATTAATGACCGTTTTCTCTTGAGTTTCCTGGGGACTGTTTCCTGGTGATAATTTATCCTGTTCCCATTCAGTTTCGTGTGTATGACCTACAGTAAATCATCCTGCTGATTTTCAGGAGGCAAACACCAAAGTACACAACACAAAACCTACACACACACGCATGCAGACACACAAGAATACCCTCTTGCCAAATAACACGCGAAGTTTTATTTTATTTTATTTTGAATCTGGCTTTTCCAATAGACTCTTTTATTTTTTTTCCTCTTAGAGCATATCAGGAGAGTTCTGCTGGCAGCTTTTGGTTAGATTAAAAAATTGAACATGTATTCGTACTCTGTGGTTTCTGTCTTTTAGCTAGTTTCTATGACAATACTTTACCTTTCGCCCCATGTCTACTTAGCTTCCTTAATAGCATCTCATGAGGGAGTTGTCAAAGGTTTTCTGAAAGTCCGTTTAAACCATCTGTCCTGTTTACAGAAAGAGAGCTGAGAAAAAAAAATAATAATAAATAAAAAAAGCAGACAGAAAGGAGAAATTAGTTGTTCAAAGTCAAACAGCAGGCTGGTCTCAGAGAACCGGGGGAGAAACCTTGGAGCCTGGCTGAAGCTCTGCTGTTTGGGGCACTGGGTACCACTTTCCCCACAGAAAAGTGCAAAACTGAGCAAATACAGGTAAAAATGAGAACAGGACGGGTGATAAATAGGTAGGCTCATTAGTTCCTGGGTCAGCAATCAACAAGCTGCTTTGGAAACAAGTTCCAGCCTCCAAATCTGCCATTAATAAGGGACCTGCAGCTAAGAATATCATTAGGGTCGGATTAGCAGGAGTTTTAACAGTCCGTGATCTGTGTGCTGTGTGTTGTTTTATACACAGGCAACGCGAGATGAGGTTTTTGGAGGATTTGCTGCCAAAACAGGCAGCGCCATGCGGAGGCGAAGGAAACAGGCTCAGGTGCATAGGGAAGAGCAAATAAAACGCCTGGTTCGAGGAACGAGCATTGATCTCTACAATCAGTCGCTTACGTGAGCTATATCTAAGTAGGAATGAACCATCGGGGTCACCCTCCAATCTCCCCGTGGTGTGTGCTGAGGTTTTTTTGAGCTCTCGGAGCCAAGCGATGGCACGAGGCTGTTATTACTGGCTGGTAAAAAAATGTTTCTAGGCACGGAGAAAGGTGGGAACGGCTTCAAAGCAGGAAGGTCACGCGCTGGAGAGCGGAGCAGGTGATGCCTTCGGTCCCGGCGGTGGCGGAGGTCTGCGGAGGTGGCAGCGCCGCGATGCGAGCTGGGGTGGTGTGAAAATCAATTAACACTCATTAAACGCTTAGGGGGAAAAAAATAAATAAATTAGGAAGGAACGCGAGATAAAAATGTGTCTTTAGACGACCGTTAAGTATACAAGCGTCTGATCTGGAAGATGAATTTTAACCTCCTCTCATTTCCTAGGAGAGTACCTCAAATGCCGGGCCATTTTTAATGAAGTTTCCCTCATTCTTCCTTGCTCATACAGTTTCAGGAGAAATTTTAGCGGAAATCGAGCATTTCCATGCCTGGACATGAGGCTACATCTGCATTGTCTTAGCTGGACTGAGGACAAACCACTGGTGCGCCAGGAAATAGGATGGATTCCTAACCATCACAAGGGCAAGTAGATGAGGTGATTTGAAGCCACTCTTAACTTGTTTTGTTATAATTTGACGTAGAGCAGACAACACACCCGCTGTCGGTGTATCTGTTGGGTAGCAGAGTGCTTAAATTGGGTATAATATAAGCTTAGGGGCAGTTTCTCTGCCACAACTCATGTGAAACGTAAATACAGATAGCCCGGACCCATTCTCCAGCTGATTGGGTTTGAAGGAGAAGGAAGGGAGGGGCCTTTAGTGCTGTATTTTTTATTTTTTTAATTTTTTTTTCCTGTTCAAGTTTGTGTTGTTGTCTCTCCATCTGCCTCCCTTCCCCTGTGTGACAGGACTGCTCAGGCTGGGCGTGGGAGGGAGCCACAAACTCGGCTCATCGCCTCCTCCACCTTTCTTGACACGTGTAAATTTTTGTTCATTTTTGTTTGTTAGGTCTGGAGGCAAGCCTTGAGGAAAGTCAGCGCCGGGGCTTTAGCTCCACATCCTTCTTCTCCGCCTTTCCTGGGACACAGATATCCTTGGGTTTCAAACCTGAAGAGGGGAAGATTCATCCTAAGATTCATCCTAAGGGAAAGGATTCACTTTCAGATTTCATTTTCAGATTAAAGCAGTGCGTGACTATAAAATGAAACAGGATCTACAGAAATTCACTCTTTGAAGTATTTATTTATAAGAATACTATTTTATAGTATTGTCTATATGCATTTTATATTCAAAGTTGCAAAATGTCTTTACGGCACTGTCTTTCCCTCCCGGGTTGCAGCACGGCGTTGGCATTATGATTCCCAGACTAGGGACGCTGCTTTGGCTCAAAGGTTGACTTGTGGAGGGTCTATTTTATTTTAGAGTGCTTTTGATATGAGTGTCGCAACAATATAGTATATTTTAAAGCCATTTGGTCTTCCCAGATGCTCAAGCCTGTTAATTGTATGTATTTTAGATATATCTGCTAACAGCTAAATGGAGTTTGGGCATGGCACAATTTCTCTGAAGCATATTTTCCCGGCAGCCTGCAAGAGTACGTGCGTGTTTCTGGTTTAGCTTTTTTAAGCTAAAAGCTCATCTAGAATTGGACTCTGGCTTTTACAGAAATGGCTTTTCACATTTTCTTGTAGCTGAGGGTCACTTAAAACCACTAGCAAAGCCCCAGACTTCACCGAGGCTGAGTGGTCCTTCTCCAAGTCCTTCTCCTATCCATCCTCCCCTTCTTTTTCATCTCAGCCATATCTGGACTGATGCTTTCCCTCTAACCTTCCTCCCTCCTCCTTTGGTTTCTCCAAAGACCAAATCTGCCCCAAAGAGCTGAGGTGGAGGAAGAGGCACAGGAATACGCTGTAGGATGCCCTGCTAAGAGGTCGTTTAGCTCCCCCAAGGAGAAAGCTCACGCCCTCCTGAGCCGATCAGATAAGAAGGAAAAACAAATTAAATGGTCTTATCAAGTTTTGTAAAAGCAGATAAAATCTATCAAATTCTGAAGGGAATTGCCAAGTGCTGCCTGTGATTCACCCTCCTAGCACCAAGAAATGGGGATGAGTAACAGGCCTGGAGCTCCGGATTGGAGCTGGCTTTAAGGTGTTTTCTATAACTCTGCTTTCAAACATTTTGTGTTTGGAACATATTTCTTCAAATATTGATTGTTACGTGTCTTGCAGTGGGAGAGAAGAAAATCCTCTTCAAAACCCCTCTTTAAGCCAGTCAGTTCATAGTTTGCGGTCTAGTGAATAGACCTAGAGCTGCTTAGCAATGTATCCTAGGTGTTGGCTTGCCAACAGTCGGTGGAGAGTTTCTTTTAGCTCTTCACGAGGATGACTCCTGTGGTGTTTAAGGGATGTGGGCAGGCTTAATAATAACCCGAAGGGAGTAGGGCCAGACTGCAACTGCAGTGTGGGAGGATACTTGATCCAGCCAAGCCAGTGAGGAGGAGGAAGGTCAGTGTCTGTAGGATGCCAGGCTGAGGAGATACACCAGTGGTCTTGCTCCGAAGAGTGACTTAGAGCACCCTACATATTGGCTCTGGGAGTCCAAAGGGTGCTGGGGGGGCCATAAATGCCTCCCCATCTTGGTGCTGCTGCCTGGCTGCACGTGGGCAGCTCTCCGAGGGAATCCTCCCCATGCTGGCACGAGGTGAGACAGGCCCTAAAGCCTTTGACTGAAAACAGTTTTCACTGTGGGAGCATGAGCAATGTAAACACAAGGAAGAAAACAAACGAGAAGCTCCGCCTGTTCACCAATTTCCCCCCAATGCACTACGGGAATTATGCGGGGACATTTCATCCCTGAGAAAACACCACCCTTGTAGTGCGGCCAAGGTCACCGGCTTGCATGAACCAACTGTCATGTCAGCTCCACTCAGGGGGGGGACGTGAATTTAAGCACCTGACTTCCCTGATAATCTCTCTATTTCTCCTTCGTGCCTGAGCATGTCTTGCCCTTTTGCCCTCCACGTCCCCGTCACTGCTCAGATCTGCTCAGTGCCCTGTTGTCCTTTTTTTTTGGGTGTGCAGATGATGTGGCTGCACAGGCCAAACCCTGGGCAGAGGCTGTGAACATGGGGGGGAGAACAGCATGGTCAAACACACACATAAACCCTCACCAAGGTGTAGAGAGATGCTCAGTGTTGTGGCTGAGCTGTGTTGGTTTACTCAGCAGCCTCTCTGGCTCTCACCCTTCCTGCTTATAGCATCAAACCAAGGGGTGAAAAATCACATTTTCACGTAAATCTGAACCTTTCCCCACACCGTGGTGAGATTTGGGCCACCTCCCTCTTCTCTAATTCTGGTAGGCAGGAGGCACAGAGGGACAGGAGCTTCTTTTCTTTAAGGAGGATGCTTGTGATGTGTTGCAGCTGAGGCTTTGCCACGCAGCACCCTTCATCAGCATGGCACCAAATGACACCCAGGACCCTGTCGGAGGGCTTTGTGCAGGGATTACATGGCTCAGGGAGCCCCGTGACTGTCCCTTGTCCCTGTGCCACTGGGGGTGACTGCCCCCCAAAAGCCACACGGCTGCTTTCCAGCCTTAAACACAGGGACTGGCGAAATACCACCAAAAACCAAGCTCCTGGGCAAGGTGAGGATACGTCCCAGCTACTTGGCAGTTGTCACCCGTTATATTTTATGATGACGGAATAAAATAAGATAGACTTTCCTAGTTATCATTAGAGGTGATAATTTGCAGCCTAAGTGTGTTGCCATGGAGATGTGAGAAGCCCCCAAAGAGGGAGGCCGGGGAGTTACGGCCTAATCCTGAGGTGATTTTTCAATAGCACCAGCTGTCCCGGGGCTGAAAGGCATGGCAAATTACACCATTATTGGAGGGAAATAGGGAGGCTAAGCTAATTATTTGTGGGCTTTAGACACAGGTGTTCATAAAAGCGGGGCCGTGTGCTCCTCATCAAGGCCGGCTGGGGAGGGGGAGGCCCGGCGGGAGGCCCTGGCTCTCATTTCAATCACAAAGGGCGGCCATGGGCACGCCGCCGCCATGCTGCGCGCAGGGCCTTCGCCCCAGGTAACCGTGCCTCACAGGCGGCGCTCGCCCCTCGTCATGGTCTTCTTTCCTGGTGTTTTCCACAAAAATGGTGTTAGAAAAGGGTGCTTTGGGGGTTTGCTGCCGTATGCTGGTTATACTCGTTGTTTGGGCTCAGTGGTTCCGTGCTTTGGGTTTTAAAGGCTGCTTCTGAAGCCTGGAAGTGGATTTAAAATAACAGTTTTGGGGTTCTGTAAAGCTCCCTTTAAATATTTGTGATGTTGAAATATGTGTCTGGAATCCCACTAAATCAAAATTTTGTAAGCTTGGGTTTATTTTGTTAAAGAAGTGAATGTTAATTGTGTCCAAACTGAGCATGTTACTTAACACTTAAATAACCACAAAAGCGTTTTGAACTTTCCTTTGCCTTCAAAAAGAAATCTCTGAGATAAATAACCTATGTTAATTTTTAAAAACATTTTAGCAAGTCAGAGCTAAATTATTTTTGGTTAATAGCCAGATGAGCTTTCTGCTTATTATGGCTCTAATGAGCGCTTCCCGAAAAAATGCAGCCATCTAAAGATGCTTCGAGAGAAATCTGTTGTCCCTTGGGTCATCTCGGTGGATAAAATCTGCACCTTCCTCAATGCCTGGCCACAAATCCCTGGTGGCACGGGGGTTGGAATCTGTATTTTGGAATCTGAAGTCCCTAAACCTGGTGGTTGAAGCCTTTGTTACCAGAGGATCCTTCTTTTTTTCAGGTGTTGTTCCAGGGCACCTGTGCTACGTGGGGTGTGCATCGGGAATAAACACCAATTCTGGTTGGCATAAACCGAAGAACATCTACTGGAGAGCACAGCATGGGCAATTTGCTCTGTCTTGTAGCACGTCGGGTAAATGTACCTTCTCTTTTGGTTGCAGCTTTCAGGAGCATAGAAAAAAATGGCTAACCACTCCCTGGTACATGCTTTAAAGCCTAAAAAAAGTTTTGGGCTGTGATATATCTTTTTTTTATGAGATAACTTTATCAGAATATTGAATTTTTTCTTTTGGGAGGAACACTATATGATCACGCAAAGGTACATTGGGTTTGTATTGTAAGTTAAATCCACAGGGTATTTTGTTTCATCCTGTTACTGTCTCTGAGAATAACACTGCAGAATTGATGTGAGGTCGTGTGCCTCTCCCCAAGGTTAAAAGCTGAATTTACTAGCACAACCTATGATCTTCTCTAATGCATCTTCGGAGGGATGAATTCAATATCGATTTGATGATAGTTTATTCAAATCATCGGTTGAGACCACAATTTTCGTGCGTTTTGGATTTCTATGGCCCTTTAAAAAAACAAATGTCAAAGGACTATGAAAAAGTTCACCCTCAATAGTTTTGAATAGCAGAGGGCAGGCTTACGTGGCCAATTACTTGTCTTCCAAATAATAATACCCTAATGGATTCATTACCTTGCTGCTGGGATATAATGAAGAAGTAAGAACTGTTTTCTTTTTTTTTTATGCACGGTGTAACAAATATATTCATGATGTACTGAGATTATTACTGGTAACTGTAAGCATTTACTATCCACTCGTGTGCCTCTAGCATTTAGCGAGTAGCTTTTTGGCATTTCCAGCAGTCTGTTTTGTAACTTCCCAGTTTAGCACCATTGCTAGTGGTGGAGAGGGTGGCTCCTATTTATGAAGCGAGGAGATAACTTGGTCTCTGAACAGCATTCAGTGCCTGTGCAGCACTGAACGTAGTTGTAAGTGTGGGTTTCTGCCAGCTCCCGGTTGTAACTGGGATTTCCCTGATGCTTAGTACTGTAAATAACATGGAAATTCCCCCTCAGCCTCCAGATAAGCCTAGATGGGCCAAGCGTGTGCAAATATTCCCGGGTTGGATTTTTGGGAAGGCTGTGGTGGAGAAAAGATGACATTTCTGGGTCACTGATGGGCAGGTGTATGCCATGATTTGGAGACCTGTCGAGAGAAATTTTAGCCTCTACTTTTTCTCCCTGTCTTTTATTTTTGCTCTGTGTATTATTGGCTCTGTGTTTTATTAAAACAGACCCATTTGAAACACTTCAGCAGGAAAGCAGTGTGACGTGAGCAGAGGGAAGCCTCTGAAAATCTACCTCGTGTCTTCTCGTGGAGTTCATCAGGACGGTGGCTGAGGTTTGAAGCCGAGATCTTCACCACGGTGCTGCTGTGAGCATGCAAGAGAAGCAGAAGGGGCGGCAGGGAGCCCATATCCAGGGCTGGCTGCTCCCTGGGTGCCAGCCAGCAGCTGAAGTCACCGCTTGTGGATCAGCACAAGAGGAGAGGGTTAAAATAAATAAATAACAGCTTTGTGTGAATGAGAAGCTGTGCTTGGGGCTGGTGCATCCCCAGGGCCTCATCCCTGCCGGCCCCAGGCCAAGCTGCCTCATCTGTGCTAGGTCCTGCCTCCCAATTCTTGCTCTGCGCCCAGCTGGCCTTCAGCTGCAGCCCCTGTGGACCAGAAAGGTCCCGATGACAAATTTCTTTGCAAAGTGCAAAGCCAGCAAGGGGAACTATTTTACGAGCTCATAAAATAGCGCGCTGCAAGCTGCAGGCCTGGCGCTGAAGTGCCTGGGGAGAAATGAGGGGTTTCCTTTGAAAGGAAAGGCCCTATTTAAACCCAATTCATTGTGCTCTTATTGTCGGTGCTCCCTATTATCGGGCCTTCTGCTGATTGCTTTCGGCCTGATAAGCAATTATTGTTAAAATGAGCCGTGAGACAGCGTGTGAGTGATGAACAGCGTTTGCAGGTAGATGGCAAAGCCGCAGTAGAGGGGCAGCGCTTAGCATTTTATTTGTCTTTACTTAAATGTGAATAGTTAATACTAATCGGGGGAGCATTCTGTGTCTAGACACACTTTCAGTTCATTACTTCCCTGGGCCCAGCACAGTTCTGTTACCGTTTAAAGAATTAAGCAGAGTTGCTGGTGGCTTTTTTTTTATCATTTTCGTCCCTCTGAGGGCGTATCTGAAAGGCACTGCTTTCTGTTTTTTTTGGTGTTTCATCCCGATCTGAAAGGAGAAACCCTGTACGATGGCACTCGCACCTCTGCAAGGAGAACTTCTCATTTATTTTTCATTTATTTCTCTTCGTTAGGTAAAGGCAATGCGGAACCAGTAAGGATCAGGAGACTTGTGTGCTAAATGCCATTTTGGGCCTCGGGAAGAAGTGAGGAAACAGTTGCTGAGCACTAAGAAACAGAAGTATGGTGATAACAGAAGGCCAATAAACCTAAAACTAAGGAAACACCGGGGATGGCGACAGCAAAAGAGCAGGTGCTTGGAGGCTCCTGGCTTTTGATTGTGGCGCTGACACTTTTTTGTATGAATTTCTGTAAAGTGCTTGACCTCCTCCTGCCTAGTTAACCCAGCTGGAAAATGGGGGAAGGAAAGCAGAAACCTCGCGGAAAGTCGGATGCCACATCTGATCCGCAGCCTCCTGGGAGAAGGGCTTTGCAAAATCCGTGCTGAGGTCGTGAGGAAACGCAGAGCAGCCTCGTCGGCTGTGGATGCTACATCCAAGTCCCTGCTTTGCTCTAATGGGTAAGGATTTCCTCCTTTCCCAAAGGCTGAGCCTCTCTGGGATTGGTTTTAACGTGGAGGAAGCGTGTGCCATTGATTGACCCCGCAGCACGTGTTTCTGGCTGACACGAGGTTGATTTCTTTCTTTTTCTTCCAAATTCACAGGTTGACGACAGCCACTTTCTGTAATTCCTCGTGAGCAAACATCCACCCCCCGAGCAGCTGCTGCCGCTGTGTCCGTGCGTGTGCATTTTGGAATAACACCATCCCTAATTTGTCCCCAGTTGGCTTTCACCTGCAGCCTCGTTGACGAGGGCTCAGGATGAAGTTGTGGCCCCCATTAAAAATGAAGGGCCCTCGTGATAAATGAGGTGGCGCCAACCTGAGCGGCGAAATGGTTTGAAATAAGCTCTCAGCCGGCCTCGAATAATTGTAGGAAGTGGGATGCTCGCCACAGGGCACCTCCTTTGTAATTTGTGAGGGGACGATGACGTTTGAATGCTAGGAAATAGGAGCATCCAAAAAAAAAAACAACAATGTTCATTCCCGATATCGAGTCTTGATTATTTTTCAGAGTTCAAAGCCCTGTAGATGTGATTTGTGGGATGGAGACCTCGTAGGGAATCGTTCTGGGGCTGGCAAGGGGCTGAGCATCGGACAGCAGTGTTGGAGCTTGCTTCTGGGCTTCAGTGATGGAAAGGATTTTCCTGTGGGGTGAGTATCAACCTGGAACATTTGGGACAACCCCGAACATTTGGGAACAGGAGGACAGCCTTCTAGGGGGAAGGAAAAAAGGGAAATGACTTCCTCTGAGTGTTTAAAAAAAGAAAACTCGGTAAGAAAATTCACAGAGAAGAGCCAAAGAGGTCTTTGTTTACAAACCCGAGCGAGCACTCGTGGAATTTCATTGCGGGGTTTCCCCAGCTCTAGTTGGGGCTGACCTGCGGGTTCACCGCAGTCATCCCGCAGTCAAAACATGTTTATCTAGTGCTGAGCTCCCCGTAGCGAACGATGAATCATTTTGTGGCTTTGCTCTGAGCACTTCCCCGTGCCGGGAGGTGCGTTTTATACATTGCGAGGCGCAGAAATGATTTAGGGTTTCCTATTTGCTCGTGCCACCGAGTCACCCTGTTACCTCCCACGTTTTGCGAGCCCATCTGTGAAATTCCTTCCCAAACAAAGGACAGGGAATGAATATGTGACAGTTTTCAGTCCTCGGGTTGTCTTAATGAGGGCAAACATTAGGCAAGGCCTCCTTTTTTAATGATCTCTCTTATTTTTAGTCCAACTCAAGTGTGCAACCAGCAGAAGGTCCTGGCCAGCGCGGGTTTGCATCCTGGTAGGGGGAAGCTTGGAGCAAGCAGGAATGAGCCAAAGGCAAGATTTCCTCCTGCCTGCAGGAGCTAAAAGGCAAAATGTTTGGCTGTCATCGATATATCAAAGTTTTACTGTTTTGTCTTCTTTTTAATGCGAGGGCAGCGAGTTCAGGAGGAAGAATGACTTGAGCGGCGTACGGTTGAGATTACTCATGAGATGAACTCACTGGTTCGTTCTACAAAAATCGTATTGTAATTGCATGTAATTTCATCAATCTTCAGCTGATTGCCAGAACTCTTCAGCCTAATGTGCTGCAGACTGGAGTTTAATGACTATTTAAGCAGGAGTGACTTAGGCTTTGGAGAATCGTCCTTTTTTTGGGGGGAAAAAATAATCAGTCCGTATGCTGACCAGCTGCAGATTATTATTAGGGTTTTGTTTCTGTGCACCTTAGAGCAAATACGCTTTGTTGCTTGTCTTTTGAGTGTAGGTACAGAGCTTTCCCGGAGATCTGACGTGCTAACGCAGGAGGATTCGGCAGCTGGAGCCTCCGAAGGTTTCATTGAGAGCCAGGAGCCTGATTCTGCCGCCGTCTCACCCAGGAGCTGGTGTTTTCCAGAGGGACGAAGGTGGCTTCTTGCTCGAAAACAACGGGATGAAAGCTTTTGGCTCGTCTCCTCCGCTCCTCCTAGCCCCCTAAAATTTTGCTGTGCGGTCTCCCTCTGTAACAGAGCGAAGCAGGCATCCCTAGACCGTGATCCGTCGCTTTTTGGCGGCTTATAAATCGTCCAGGCTGCTAGTTAGGCTGCCTACCCCTGGTGTAGATCATGGCACTAGCGGCAGAAATCTATAGGGTTCCCCAGGGCCCTTCAGAGCCGGCGGAGAGCTTGTTAATATAATAGCAGACCATCTCGAAAGGGTCAAATGAATCACTCCCTACGAGTGCCTGCTTCTCTCCGCTGGCTGAGAAATAAACGTGGGGATGTCAGGAGCAGAAAGCTGCTAGCTGCCTGTGTCTCCGCAGCACAGCGGGGTGAAATCCCCGGCTCTGCGGGGCCACCTCGGATATTTCAAAAAATCATCTCCCAGCTCGGGCTACACCCCGAAATAACGGGGATTTCTTTCAGCTTCATCTCCCTCCTGGGTGAAGCTGAGCCCTTAACAGCCTCCAGCCTCCTTGGCCGCTGTAAAACCAAATAATATCCGTGAAGAACTCGGGTAGTGTAGCCACGAGCACGGCATAAAAGCTGTGAGGAAACTAATAATCCTGTCTTCGGGGTATTTAATAAAAAGGGAGAAAACGCCATAAATGGGAGCACTGCAAGTCCGCCACGTAACAGACAGCGATAAACCGTGCTTCAGCCTGGAAACATCTCTCTCTTTTTATATCCCTTAATAACTGTGGGAGACGTGGACAAACTTGTGCTTATCACTACATATTTTACTGTCTGTCTTTATTATTTTATTTTTTATTTTTTAGGGGGAGCGAGCCCAACCCCAACCGCACACGTGCATCCATCAGCGTTAAGCGTCCCTTGTTTTTAACCTCGAGCAGCTTTGAGGATGTAGAGTGAAAAAGGTCGGCGATAAGGTGTTGCTGGGGCTCTGCTGGTGTGGTTTTGGGGTTTGGGGAGGTGCTGGAGGGCAGCAGAAGGTGGATTTTGGGGCGAAGATCTGCTGGGGACGGCCATGAGCAGCGTGGGGCTGTGAAAAGGGAACAGAATGGATGTTTTTTTGGGGATGGCTGTCTCAGGTGGTGTTAGTGCCCCTGGGGAAGCACATCTCGCCCACAAACGTGTTTTACCAGGAGGGGAATCAGTCTTTTAACTTTCCACGCCGGCTCCTTTGTTATCTGGAGGGGGCTTGGCCTCTCCGAGAAGCTCCGCAATGCGGCTAGCGCGCAAGAGGTGGCTTTCAGTCACTCCTGGAGGCTCAGGAAAATTCATTGGAAATCTATAGCTACTAATTGAGCACTTGGCTTGCGGAAAAGGGTGCTGGTCGCCAAGCTGGTGAGCTCTCCAGGCTCTGGAAGTGGCGCTGAGCCGTGGCAGCTCTGATGGAGAGCGCTCCTGACTGGGTGGGTGCTGTCCTCCCCTCAGCGGCAGTGGATGAAGCTGGATCTCACCTTCTCCTTGCTACCCCTGCCTAAGGAGCACTCTGCTCTCCTCTCCTTGAATTCCGCATGCTGAGCTTTTTATTTTTCCAATTAAAAGCTATTTTGGTATCATTTTGAAGGGTTTGGGCCCTTATTTACCCGCGCTGCCTGTCGAAATCATCTCGCGCCGCTCGGTGCCAGATGCTGCTCCTTCTTACATCTGCTCTAAAATATCTAAAATATCTAAATTATAGCACTATATGTATATAATGTGCCTGTATATATGGTGTTGGATCAGGCCTGGTTGGGTTGGAGTTAATTTTTTCTTCAGAGCAGACTGTATGGTGCTGCATGAGTTTTTTTTTCCACGTATAATGTGTGTGTGTGTATAAATATATATATGTAATCCTTAAATAGATTTGTAAATCCTTCCGTCACTCGGAAAACTCGGCGTGTAGCCAGATTGCTTCATGATAGTCAAGAAAAAAAGGAGAAAATAACCCAAATAAGATTCGTTTTAGAATATGGGTCTTCGGAGTGGTGACAGAGGTGAGGTGAGCAAGGAGGTGGGACGTGTGGTGCCCCAGCGTCGTGCAACGAGACCATTTTTTGGGATGCCCCAGCCCAGATGCTTTGTTTCTGTGCTTTCTCCTTAGCTGAAAGCTTCTTGGATTTGGCCACGCCAGCCCCTGCTTTCCTGCTGTCCCTGCCGCAGCTGCTTCGCCCTCCTGGCTCCATCACCCCGACGGTCCCAGCTGCTCCTCCCTCCTCTGGCACATTTTTGGGTCAACGAGGCAAGGTTTGGCATTCGTGACCACACACCAGCCCCCGTTGTCAGATCCAATTTCTCAAAGCTTTAGAGACTTTTTAGAAAACTTTAGTTAAATTTTTGGCTTTACTTTCAGGCTTAACCCGAGTGTTTTATAGGATAAGGCCCTAAACTGATCATGATCTGCTTTGAACAAGAACCATTTTAGACTCGTGTTCACCTTGTGGTGGATGTCATAATGCTATTTTTAGAGGCTCATGCCCAGTGCCATGAACTAGACTTGTAAACGCTTGCGAGGATGGATAAACCTCCCCTTTTAAATTCTGGGCAAGAGATGTTAGCTTTCAAGGTCATG